GTGGTGGGGGCACCATGGCCCCAACAGGCTGCACTTTTCGGCTTGTAAGTTACCTCTACTAGATACCTATTGAATAGCTTACTGACTTTGGTATATAGGCGACTGGACGAATTGAAAAGAAGAAGAAGAACAACAAGAAGAACAATAAGAAGAAGAAGACCAACGAGAAGTTGGCAGATAAGGCCACTCAGGAGGTTGAGGCAATGCAGCTCGAGTAAAGGTTTCTAGGTCTTTCTACAATACTAGCATAACCACTATAACAAGACACATCGAGGTTGTTTACCCTCTACCTACCTCCCTTGCGCTTGCGCAGCCAAAAAAAAAAAAAAAAAAATATACGTCAGTTTCATTCAGCTAGACTTTTATCGTAACTAATCGCGTGGCCAACGTGAATGAATAAAAATAAGCTTTAGGACCGTTTAGTAAGTATTATTAAAGTTTGGGAAGGGTTCTCTAATATTTTATTTTAATAAGTCTTAATTTAGATAGTATTAACCTAAAGCTTATAATAGTATACATAGTCATCATGTTTTACATTAGATGTCTTGATGAAGGCATGAATAAGGGTGATATATTGTATTGCGATCTTTTCTGTAAAGGAATCTCGACGCTTACGACTATACAAGCCAAAGGTCTGCTCCCATTACCTTTATCTCTTTTAACTGATTCATCCAATGTCACAATCAACCGATACCTCGAAATTGTACATCTCATATCATTCAATTATCATCATATACACATGCCGACTCATTGGTAAATTATGTGCTCATATGTATGTACTCAGGTGCGCCTGGTTTTGATGTCCTGTCCCAATGCCCATTACCAATTCCGATTCTATATCCGAGAAATCATAACTTAATCATAAACATTCCGCTTACAACAGAGCAGCGGCAAGAATGAATGCGACAGCAGCAGCACTCATTGAGTTGAGCTGCTGAGCACCGCTGCCAGGCAAGGGGGTTGCGGCAGAACCACCATTGCCGGAGGTGGAAGAAGGAGTAGGTACAAGAGAAGTGGGAGTGCCAGGCACGACAGGCGCAGTTCCATTGGTATAGTTACCAGTTGCGAAAGAAGGGCTGACGAAGCGGTGCTCAACGTTGCCATTGTTGCTGCGGCTCACCAGAGATCCCTTCTTGCTCTTCTCATCACAGCTCAGGTCGTAAAGGGGCTTCTCGGTCAACTCGGAGCCAATGACGCCAAAACTGGGGTTGGGAGTCTGGGGAGCAGAGTCCTGGAGTGTGTACCACCAGACATTGATATCTCCAAACATAGGACAGCCGACATCCTCGTAGAACGTGCGAGCATTCTTGGTGGAGGGAACGGCCTTGCCATATGTCTTGCCGCTGACGGGCCATCCGGTCTCAGTGACCCAGATCTCCTTGCCCTTGGCAACAGCCTTGACCTCGTTCCAGGCAGTCTTGAAGAGGTTTGCACCCTCGGAGATGGGGTTGTTCTTGGTATCTTCAAAATAAGGATAAGCATCCATGCCAAGCCAGTCACAGGCCTCAATGACAGCATTGTTGGAAGCATTGGCATATGCGGTCCATGTATCGACATGACCGATGGCGACAGACTCAAGGCAAGTGCCCTTGATAGCAGCACGAGTCTGCTTGATGTAGTCGACGAGGACATCAGGGTTGGTACCCGGGTTCTCATTGGCTTTGATACCGGTAGGAGAAATACGGTAGAGATCCTCACTTCCAACAGAAATACCAGCCACAAGGCCGTCGAGTTGTCCACAGTACTGGTCGACAGTGCTCTTAAGAGCGGCGATCTCGTTGGCGAAACCGTCACCAGAAGCCCAGAGACCAAAGAGCAGGCTTGTCTTGGTATTGATGGCAGCAGGAATAGCAGAGATGGGTTGGCTGATTGAGCCACCCTGGATCATGGTGTAAAGGCGAGCACTGGTGAAGGCGCCACTGGTGCCCTCGAGACCAGCGGCGGTCTTGAACTCGTTCTCAAAGTCGGACTGAGCCTTCACTCTTCCATCTGTGAATGTCGAGCCATAGTTGAAACCCTGGAACGCAGCGCTGGCTGAGCCTGCCAGGGCCATTGTGAGGAGACTGTTGATGGAAGGCATTGTGACTGATAGTACGATAATAGTGTAACGCAAATGCAAGAAACTCTGGACTATAGTAACGAGAGTATGTCCTTAGGAAAAAGATAAAGGCACAAGAAATAAATATGGAAGATGGACAGGAAAGAAAGAGAGATGGAAATGAGATTGTCTTAAGAAGGTGAACCACAACTAGATCGAAGACACGTCGAAGATGAATAATTCTACGTACTCATGCAGGTACACGCAAACACGCACGCATCCGAGCCAATTCGAGGCCCGATCGAGGCAGACTCTTCACTCAACTTGCATAGTTACTCCAAGAATACAAGGCCACTGACGAATCCACATAGCAAATCAGTGGCAACATAGGTCCATCTCAAGTCACTCCGTCGGCCCGTCAGTTGTTGAGGTGCCCTCATCAGTTTCCCGATCAGTCGTCGATAAAAAGTCTAACACGCCACTCGCGGGATAAAAGAAAGATCAGGACGTGTCACTGCCTTGCACTGTGTTCATGATAAACTCATAGCGTGAAATACGTGGTTAAGCATCGAGGCAGCCAGTGTGAGGAAGTTTGTGTAAGTGTGGATTCGGCTTCGTAGACTTTCGATCGAAGGACGCCATGAAAAGTCAATTCGGGCCAAGGATGCGCATTTTGCCGATAGCCGTTGGCCGTTGGTAACGACAAAAGAAACGGCCAGAAGAAATCTCGAGGCGTTTAGCTACAAGAGATGAGTTTAACATCTGGAATGGAAGCAACCCCAGAGAATGGTGATGAGACAACCCAAAATAGCAACCATGTCAGTTACCCCGGGAAGAAGATTCCGGGGAGCATAACCGTGTCTTGGCTTTGGCTAAGATCTTGACAGCGGCTCATGAAACATATCCATTCAATTATCAAGATTTGACCATCAATCTAAGCAGGGATACCGATGGTATCATTGCAACGCAAGTCTCTAGGCCTTTGTAAAGTAACGTGGATCAAAAATAAGCTTCATTTTCTTAACTCGCCTCTGAGCAGCAAAGTTTGAGGCTTGGAATATGGCTGAAAATCAACCGTTGAGCACTGCTCTAAGTGGTGGAAGAAGAGCCAGAAGCAAACGAGTCATTTATCTGCTTTAATGGAGATAACCCACGTCTCTAACCTCTGTGAAAGCTGTGCGACATTTTTCTCATCTTTATTTAGGCTCTGGACTCGTCATACGTGGGTCGTTGGCAACGTGGATCATCAATAGTTGACGACGCATTCTTAGGTCAGGGAACTCATTCGATGGTACGACTCTGAGTTCAGCGCCTGGAAAAATGAGTGTAGTGCTGTGGCTCAATTAAGTGAACCCATGAGATTATGTCCTTATAGAAGGATCGCCTGTGTAAGGGCGTCGAGCTTGCAATGCTTAGTGTTACCTGGAGCCTCGAGATCGAAGTAATTGGGGTCATGGTTGGCTCTGGCCCAGTGTTCAGTGTGACAAAGAAAGACTCGATCGTCCCGATAGTCAAAGAAACGAGTCTGAGTAACAACAGGTTCATGCCTGCTCACAGTGCTACATACACTACGTGTCTATCATTACTCAACACCAGCCACTTCATCACCAGTCCGCATCACAACCACAATCACTCTTTGAGAAGAGCAAAAATCGACAAAAAGAAACATCCGGAAGGCGTTGGGATTGCTCCCGCCAGGGCTTGAACCTGAGACCTTCGCATTACCGAACACTCGGATTGAAGTATTAGTACGACGCTCTAACCAACTGAGCTACGGAAGCCGACCGGATAGATGAGCGGATGACCCGCTCTTGGATGCTGGGTGGACGAGGATAGTCACAATAACAAGGTTGGAAGACTATAATTGAAGAACAGCCTCTTAGTATCATCGGCGTTGATTGATCGCCAAAAGACAGGAAGAGCAGTCTGGGGGCGGCTGGCATCGGAGTCTTTCACTCTTGCAAGCATCAAAGAAGTGAGGCAGTGAATCACTTCTCGACCGGGCTATCGGCAAGCCTCACCCGTGACACTATGCACAACTCTAATGAAGATATTCAGGGTCCATATCCATCTTGGTTCGGTCAACGGACCCATACGGTCCACCATCAACAGTGCATCAAATACGAGAAAGAGGCCTCTTTCACGAAATAAAGAACAAACATAGAAACAATGATTAAGCAGACCCAATTCTTGACCCCTGTCCCCTTTTGTTTCACACGCGTCCACTGTCGATTGATCAAGTGGCTGACGTCCATCCCAGCCCCGACCCCTGCACAACCGGTTTTCCCAGCCATTCTTGATGCAACCCTCAAAGAATCCCCAGCCAAGAAAAGAAACAAAAGAAGCAGCCCAGCCAGTGACGCAAGCGCTCAATGTATGATTGGTCTGTTTCGGATTTGGCCGTTGTTTGGGGTCATGATTTGCACGGCGATGCGCTCATGAACACGGCCTTGAGCTTGTTCTGAATCTCTGGCGTTTGTGCTCTTTTTAGCTTGGCTTGGTAGACTCTTCTGAAGCTCTGTGCGCGAATCATCCTTGGTTATGCGCTGTCGAAGTTTGCATCATTGACGGGCAGGGTCTCAGTACTAGCCAAGTATTTATTTCACTACACCACCCGCAAAGTCAACTTGACTTCCCCGGTGTCTACTGGACATTCCTTTGAATTGTTGATTTTCGTATTTCTACAACTTGAAGACACTCCGCTTTCGCAGTATCACACGCCGTAGCCATGTTGTCGAGGTTCTTCGTCCTCTTGCCCCTGGTGCTGTCCATGGTGGCCTTTATCCTCTCAATGCTCTGCCTTTTTGCTGGTCACAAAGAAGGGTTTATGGAAGAATACTCTGTTGCACGGGTAGGTTTAAAGCAACTTCTCAAAAACTCAAGCTGACAGTTTAGCTCAATACTTCAATGATTGGCCATAACGTTCTCGACACTGACAGCGACGCTTCTTCTAATGACAACGATGAAGATGACGGCTTCTTTGGCAAGGTCACCGACAAGTGGAACGAAGTTAAAGACGATGTCAAGGGAAAGATCAACGACATCACTGGCGACGTTGCAGACAAGCTGGCCGACACTATTGGTATTTCGGAGTGGTACTCCATTCATGTCATGGCTACATGTGATGGACAGTACAAGCCCAATGCCACCAGTCCTGGTGCTGGATACAACGTCACAAACTGCACCAACTCTGCCCCTGAGAGTGAGTAGAACACTATCTTTGATTCACAACGATTGCTAATCTTATAGAACGCTTCAACCTCACCGAGATGCTCGACAAGCAACTTGAAGTTGGTCCTTTCCAGCTGAACCTTGCTGACATTAACTGGCCCGATGACATCCAAGATTCTATCGATCTTCTCAACACGGCTCTCCTGGTCACATTCGTCTTCTACGTCCTCGCAGTGGGTTTCTCTGGCCTCGCCATGGTCGCGAGCGCCGGCGCATTCTTCCTCTTCGCTCGCCGCGGCGTCAACGCCGTCAACGTCATTCTTTCGGGTCTCGCCGCTCTTGTGCTCCTCATCGCCAGCATTCTAGTCACTGTGGCTGGCAAGAAGGGTGTAAACAAGATCAACGACGTCGGTGATGATGTTGGACTGTCAGCGTCTGTTGGAAATAAGTTCCTAGCGCTGACCTGGGCTGCTGCTGCTCTCATGATTATCGCAGCTATCTACTGGGTCATGCACTTGTGTCTTATGCGACGCGAGAGGAAGAGACAGTGGAAGCCACGAAAGGGGAGCTACTAGATTTGATGAGACATGATGACTAGACTGATGATGGATTTTTGTTAACCAGATTGGGCGCGCCTATGATACCAAAGTGTTTTACTTTCCTTTTGCAGTTTCAGAATGATTCCCTAGGTACTCGGACTTTTTTTATACAAACCACAAGATTGGCACATCTAGACACTCAGATAGTAATGCGATAGCTGGCCTATCTAATCTCTAAGCGAATGTGTTTGTTTCTGTCATTCAAATTGTCATGCTCTTAAGTAGTAAAACATCAGACTTCAACATACAATATCGAAATAAACTTAGTAAAGGCTATCCTAAGTTTATAGTAAATTTATCCTAAACTTATACCAAGTTGCCTCAGTCTTTATATCACCTAGGGCCAATATCCTAAGGTTTTCCTCTCCTAGCCTATGCTTTGTCAAACTTATGACAAGCACTATAACGTGTGATTATCTCGGGTTTGCGAGAAGACTTGATACACGAGGTATCGTGATATAAGAAGTATTATCACAAAGCTCTAGGCTTGCTGGCATATTTACTTCGGGGCTTTCCCTATCGCTCGCTGTATGAATATCAGTACCCTCACGAGTGTGCTTGTACAATGACGATCGCCAACCTTGTTTGGTTTCAAGGAAAGACCCTTCAAGGCACTTAGCAACCTATATACGGCGTATCATGTTCTACTCATTCTATTTATGAATTACTAGTTCCTCGAATGTATTCACATATACAGATAGATTACTGATTTATCTGTAAAGGTATGGCCGTAATTGGTGAGACAGTCAGGTACCCTGTAAGTGCGGTTGTGTACACATGACGTCACAGGCACCAACCAACAACCGCGTGTAGCGCGTGTCACTTCGGCACCCGGTCCTTGATTCTAACTTCCACGGCCAAGTAATTATAGCATTGGTAGCATTCTGGCTATCTGAACATAAGAAACCCTTAATCATTCTACTCCTCGCCCATGTCCTGGCTGTCTGGCCTCTGGAGAACATCACGTCCAAACTATCACACCATGCCTGGCAGATCTCACGACGAGGAGTCTGGCTCGGGAGAGTCAGAGTCCCTGCTTGGTCGAGGCCACAAGAGAGTTAAGCGCTTCTGGGAAGGCTTCGTCGACTTTGCGTTTCAAGATGATATCCTCAAGATTGCCGTTGGTTTGATGTATGAAGTCTCCTGGATTCGCGGTGAAGGCGACTAACAGACTGGATAGTCTTGCGGCCGCCTTCACAGACTTAGTAAAGTCTTTCGTGAGCGATGTATTAATGCCACCTATCTCGGTTCTCCTCCCACTCAACAGAAACATGGAGGAAAAGTTTGCCGTTCTGCAAAAAGGACCAAACTTCAATAAGACAACCGGCTACAACACCCTTCATCAGGCCCAAGAGGACGGTGCCGTTGTCCTAGCATATGGGTAGGCATTCTAAACGTCTTGAGGATATCCAAACTCACAGCTAGTAGATCTTTTGTTGGCCAAATGATATCCTTTCTTGTGCTGGGCATCGCTCTCTATGGACTCGCGCACTTGTGGCAGCTTGCTTCATCTGAACCCATCATCAAGCACACAAAGAAGTGCAAGTACTGCAGACAGCGCATCAACGAAAAGGTGAGACGGTCGAACCTCAATATGGGCTTGCGACTAACACTATGTAGTCTATTCGCTGCATCCAGTGTACCAGTTGGCTTGATGGGCGAGAGGACCGCAACTGAGTAGACCTTGAACATCTCGTGCGCATACGTGATACCCTTTTCTTCTTGTCTTTTTATTTGCATCCTCGCGTTGTTCACAGATTGCTCATTCTTTAGTAGCGAGATGTTATGCATGATGCTAGTTTATCATGGCGGTTATTGGTAAACTCAGTCTTGTTGCTACCATTTGGGAGTTGCTTCTATAGCCCAAATAACAAGAGGCTAATACTACGTTCAAGTTGATGAACCGTGACTCAATGAGTGTCATTCTCAGTATCCATTGTCCAATACGTGACATAAGTGGCTGGCTACCAGGATGGAGCTACCAGGATGGAGCTATTGTCAATAGTTTTATACCGGTAGTGGCGCTGATTGCCGAAACCTTGCTTTGTCGATCGATTGTCACTATATTGACATTGCATGTCATTCATAATTTGGCCCCGAATTGATAAATGTTGAATTAGGCATCATTACTACAAAACGCTTGTCCAACCCACATGCTCACATCTACAGCAACATAGCAGCACCACCAACAACAGCAGCCGCAGCCAGAACAACATTCTGGGTAATCATAGGGCCAGCAGCATTGTCGGAGCTTACGGGAGTGGCAGCAGCATCAGAAGAAGCAGTAGTAGCGTCAGCGGTATCAGTGGCCTTGGCACCAGTGTCCTTGGGCTTATCGGCAGAAGTAGCCTCAGAGCCAGCGGCCTCGGTAGCAGAAGCATCGTCGTTACCGTTGAGCTTGTTGACGCCAGCGGTAACAATGAAAGGTGGAAGACGGTCCCCCGTTTTCCAGCAATGAGATACTCCGGGGCTGTTTAGCCCTTCCTGCCCAATTCTATTGCGGCCCAGACTACGACCGTTGAATTCCCCCTCCCCATGTTCGATCCTCAGCCTCTTGAAGGCTCTATTGTTGCTGTGAAGTGCGGCGCGACTACTCTTGCTATTCACTGCCCTGATGTAAAGGCGACAAACTGCGGCCTTGACAGCACCAGCACCATTGTCGGTGGCCCCTCTACCATTGAGTACTCTTATACCATGCATCCTGATGTCGATGGATTCGGTGGCGGTGAAATGTAAGTACCTATTCACAAGTTGACCGGAAAACATTGCCGTGTGGAAGGGCGCACTCCAATTGCCACAGCCATCCCAACGCAGCCGCGCTATATCTTGCATGGGGTCATCAGGGACTTGTATAGAGATATGATGATTGTTTACAAAAGCTCTGCATATCGAAACCGGCGATCTCCTGACACAAGACGAACTCATGAAGGTTCTTCTCGAGTTTGCGAAACCTCCCAAAATAGCCCGTTCCGATTTAGTAAACGAGTGAGAGTCCACTTTCAAGTTCCAAAAGACTGCCATGCCTGACGAGAGCCCTCTAGGATCTTTGGCTGGCTCATGATTCAACCGCCGTGGCTCCTGTGCTCCAGTAAACTATCATTCAGCTACACTGCGGTGTTCAGTATATTGTGAGAGATGAAAGGAGGCCGAAAGACGTTTCTTTTGGCTGACAGGCGGGCTGCTTCCATAGTGTTCGTTGTCCCATTTAGCAATATTGATGCTTGTTGGCACTGCCTGTGGTAGTAAGCGGTCCAAGTAGCTGGAAAACTCCTTGCTCACTTTTGAAGTTGCCATAATTTACCCTTCGATTTCAGTTGACGAGTGCAGTTGATGTTGACAGAGGCATATATCGAAAAGGTAGCACATACGACTGTTTGTTCCCAGAATGATTGACGATCTTGAGCTATGTGGTAGGTTCACCGTTGTTGAAATGGTGATAGTAGGCTTAAGTGGTTAGGAAGATAATGCTGTTATAACTCTTCGATTATGAAACAATGTGATCAAGTGAACATACTGCAAATCAGACATGGCTATATGCATATGTAAATGCGCTTTTGTATTGTATGCTATCTTGCCCTCAATGTAGGTAGTTGTAATGGCCTCAACGTGGAGGTGACGCCTTGCCACTTGAGACCATGACATGAGCAATGCCGCGTCCTACGGAAGTACATTTAGTCACTGTATAAAAACAGATACAGGATGATAATAATTTCACTGTATAGCTATCCGAATGATCTCATATTGTTATGGTATCATGTTGCGTCGAAGTTCCAAGTGACAGAGGGTTCACTCGCATCTAGAGCTTAGAAGCAATAACCAAGATATCTTCAGGCTGCATACTGTACATAAACTTATCCGATCAAGTTACTGATCAGTATCTAATCCCGGATAAACCTTGGCCATCTAATCCCCTCTTCGTCTAGCCACTTAGAAGGCTGATGCAGCTCGGATGCGGTCAGGAGGTACCTATCATCTACGTTTGTGAGGAGATTATCATGTTGAGAATATCATATATACTTGATCACAGCTTGCCAGTGGCAAGACATTGAAATGCCTGGCACGTGAGTGCCTACGAGCGGGGTATGCCAGGTAAGTCAAGACCTCTCTGTTCTCGCGATCTCTTCTTTTTTTTTTCTTCTTTCTTCAGCCATCACAACCACAATCGTAAGTTGACGATCCCTTCATTTCCTCTGCCCTTTGATTTCTTCTCTTCGACTGTATTCGCATATGGATCTGCCTGTTATTACTGTATCGTTATCTGCACTGTTTCTTTCCCGCGTCTTCTTGTCGTTCCAGTCACCGCGTCTCATTTCGCGACCTCTTTGGAGATTCCTTCATTTACCCTACTCTCTGAACTCATCGGATCCTCTCTTCCCCTTGCTGGAGTTTGCCTATCACTACATATTTATGCGAAGCGTGGTTCCCGCTCGTCGTTCCAGTCTCCTCGCTTCTGTCACAGTCCCTACGCACTCCTGAGCATGAAGTCCGACATCTTACGAGCCACGCGCATACAACGGACGCGTGTAGTTTACACAACTTGAGGCTCTCTTGGCGCAGATGCTAGTGCTATCGTGCTCCTTGGTGCTCTTCCATCCTCATCGCGCCATCTCAGTGTTCCCCAGCAAACTTCACGATGGCGTGATAGTCTTCACTTCTCTCCGGACCTCTTGACATTTCTAGGATTGGCTTCTCAAAGCCTCATATCCATTTCCAAACCACCCATCACGTTTCAGCTGTCTTGAAACCACTCATCGGGTTCCCCTGTCCTGAGTCTCATATCCACGCGTTTCTTATATCCTCCAACACCGCTCACATTTCTCTCACATCTCTTCCTCAGCTGGATCGCCAAGCAATTACTATTCTCAACTGTTATTATCACTTGATATTTACAAATTGCTAACCTGTCTGTAGTCCCGCGTATAAAAAATTTTTTTTTTTTTTTTTCACGAAAAAAATGGCTTCCGTAAGTTCATTCTCATACAACTGACAAACATCTGATCCAATATACTAACTGTTTTCTTCAATAGACATCCACCACTTCCAACGTAAGTATACTCCAAGGTCTTTCCTATCACTCCGATATCTCCTAGATTCATTCACGATCCCTCTCCGACATCTCCCCAAAGTCTTTCAGACACTCTCCCAATGTCTTTCAGACACTCTCCCAATGTCTTTCAGACACTCTGCCACTGTCTCCCAGATATCTGCCGACAACACCAGACATACGTCGCAACACTCTCGAAACATCCTCACTAACATGGTACATAGAACAACCCGCCTCCCCAGGGTCCAGAGGGGGGATCAACCAGTGCGCCTGTGGCTGGTGGTGTGGCTGGGGGCGAGGCCCCAGCCACTAAGAAGAAGAGTTCCCGGTTGTTTTGTTCATACTGCAAGAAGGCCAATCACACGGCCGATACCTGTCGTTCTGTCCGTAAGTATCCTATTTATGAATTATGCAAGTTACCTTTATGCAAGTTATGTATACTAATTGATCTTAGCTGGCACTATCACTATCTTGAGTGGTGGGGGCACCATGGCCCCTACGGGCTGTACATTTCGCCTCGTAAGTTCTACCTTTTCTAGATTATAAGAACTTACTAACTTAGGTATATAGGCAACTGGACGAGTCGAGAAGAAGAAGAACAAGAAAAACAACAAGAAGAAGAAGACCAGCGAGAAGTTAGCAGACAAGGTCACCAAGGAGGTTGAGGCGATGCAGCTCGAGTAAATGTTTCCAGATCTTTTCATACTAGTATAACCACTGCACATGGGAATAACCAAAACAAATTCCAGCGAGTTTTCCCCCCTTTTTTAAAGCTTTCTTCCTCCCCAGTCCGTGACGCCAATGATGATCTCAATGAGTAGTAACACGAGCGATGCTGAAAGCAAAGTACCTTAAACAATTGAGCTTCTCGTCATGGTGTTTCAAGAATGATGGCCCAGGCACACGACTCGCGACCACGCTATGGTCCACGACTGCGCATCGCCCGGGTTGATCGATATTGCAGTTTGGGAAGTTCCATTTCGACATCGATGCCCTCGTCGGCTTCCATGATATTTGGATCCACAGCCATAGGTGCCATGGGATCTGCTGGGATAATAGGTTCGGCGGCCTCGAGCTTTGCGGGCTCCAACTTGTTCTCCTCCTTGGTAGGTGTCGGGCTGCTTTCCTTCAAGCCAACGGCCATGTCGCGGCGCATACTTATGGGCCGCCGTGTCCGGACTTTGCCCATCTCGCCTGTTTCCTTTGCTAGTTCAGGCTCTTCGCGCTCTACGCGCTCCATTTCTGTTTTGGCCATCTCGAGAACCTCAGTCAGTCGTTTCTGTACTTTGCTGATCTCGTCGTTACAGTCGCCATCGCGAAGGAACTGATGAGCACCGTGCTCACACATGCTTTGCACAAATTCGAGGCCCTTATCCAGCTTATCGTATACATCTGGTGGTTGGTCGCCAGCACCGGGTCGAGATATTGACATAGGACCGAATCGCCTGCTGCTCATGTATCGTAGTGAAGGGAGAGCGTCGTCATTACTTCCATCCTCTGATACGTCTTGCTCCGCAAGTTTCTTGATCTGGGCAACTCTTGCGGCCATCTTGGCTTTGCGCATCAGGTTTCGACTTGACGAGACGAACCTCACAAGATCGTCAAAGAAGCTCTGAACATAGCTATCATAGTAGACAATGATCATGCTCCGTGTTCGATAAGCGGTAGGGGCGTCTTCGTTAGACATCATAGATGGCGACTTAGGCTTCTTCCTAACCTGAGCTCGTGCTCTGGCTTGTGCGGCTTTGATGATCTCTTGTTGCTGACGAATGGAACCAGGGCTTGGGGTATGCACCTTGGGTGTCTCGGGCTTGACTGGTGTCTGTGCTATGTTGTCACCTACGCCATCTTCGAGGATGTCCTCATTCGCTGGGACCTCGGCGTGAACTACTGGAGGATCATCTTTAGGCTTGAGTGACTCGGTTGAGCCTTTGTTGCGAAGCGACTTTGTCTCCGCACTTTTGCCCTCTGCGGCAGCAACAGCGGCCAGCTCGGCCTGGCGTCGGTCGATCTGGCCACTGAGGTCGTCAAGTCGCTGTAGCCAGTCCGGAACGTTATTGACAAGATTTTTAAGCGCATCCATAGCCATGTCGCGGAAGTCTATTTCTAGCGGTGGAGCCGTGTTGGCTGAAGGTATAGGGGCCAGGTGATGCTCACCCGACTCCCTAGCTGTCGGATTGAGGAATTGCAATATATGCTAGAGCTGGTAGCTGCGTGTTTGCAGACTTACGGGGAATGAGGTAAGTTGGGAGATTTGACTTGATCGGGGACCTGGTGGCAAATAAAGGTAGGGTGATCGGCAGAGTTTCGTGTCTCGGATGGATCAAAGTCCAATTCGTGGGTATCAAATAGAATCAGTGAGAAATAATTGGTAAAGCAAGCACCATAGCACTCAGGGAGGACAGAGGCATAGAAATTGGATCGTTTCTTGGGTGAGACTCGTATCAGTCCTCTTTTGTCTCGTGATGGTCGTAATCGTCGTAGGCGTCGTTAGATGATACAAAGGTTCTCTCTGGACAAGAAAGGGTAGAAAGGTGTACAAGTGCGTTAATGCAATTTGATATGGATTGGGCAAAAGGTCAAAGAGCTCCAAGTCAAATGTCCAAAGTTGCAGGAGGATAGAGGATGTCGTAGGTGGTTAAGATTAAAGAGCCAAGGCTGGTTGGTTGAAACGAAATGATTCGAGTTGGACTTGGTTTGGTTCAGGCCTGGTCTGACGCTTGATGGGTCCACTAAGATGGAACGAACCTGGCGCGATGCTTGAATGTTGGTTGTGAAGAGAATAGGTAGAACCAACAGCTGAGACCTCGGAGAAGAGATGAGGATGGAGGTGAAAGCAAGGTTTGCAACTGCGAAAAGTCCACTGTGAGCGGTTCCTCAATTGATCGCTTACGTCTCGTGTCGTCTTGTCTCAACAGGGCAAGGGACTCGGCAGGTCGGACGGAGGCTCAGGCCTTCTAGGGAAGAAGTGGCCGGGTGGGTAGTGGGAGTGCGGCGGGGAGAAATGGAAGCTAGAGAGCGCAGAAGACGGGAATTGAAGCGTTTTAGAGAGCCCAAGTAACGACTCCCAGGATGTATGGACCCGATCCGAACAGCCCTGTCTAGGGTCTTAGTCTTATCCGATCTTGCACTTCCAGTGGCCTTCTAAGCTCCTCGGATTGGCTGAATGGTCTCTGGACGGGCGAGGGCAAGCCACAGTCCACTAATGACGGGGGAGTTTTGAGCTTGGCTCAGGCCGGTTAAGGGCTGAAGCTGGCTGAGAGTTTGCTGCTTAGGGCGCGGGAGTTGGAACGATTTAAACCCTGAAGCGGTAGAGGTGAAGGGCCAGAATACAGAAGAGGAGCCAAGGAGCCGAGATTCGACAAGAGATCGGCTGCAGTGGGAAGAGAGGAGGAGGTTGAATGGGATGGTGTAGAAGAGAGAAAGAAAGAAAGAGGACGAAGGGAGAGGCAGGCAATTAGAGATGCAGAGTGATAACCTAAGCCTGTACGTAGCCCAATAAACGAAAAAGAGAATAAGATGGAGAGAGGGTTGGTGTCAGAGGGAGGAGCAGAACAAGCATGAACATGGGTGGTAGTTATGGGTAAGGATGCCATGCGAGCGAAAAGGCGGGATGGGGATGGCGAGAGATTTTATTGCAGCACAGAAGCAGCAGCAGAGAGATGCAGATGCAGATGCAATGCATATTGGCATTGCATGGTTCAAGGTCATGGTCAAGGTAAAGCAAGGTCGCTGCAGAGAGTGGCAGAGAGAGGAGAAGGGTAAACAGAGCGAACGAGCCTACAAGACGGGGTGTTTCTCTAGGGGGTCCAGGGGTGTGTAGCATTAATGCCCTCTACACCACCAACGGGTGTGTACTTCAGAGGAACTCTCTGGCACACTGCATAGTACTTACAAAATGCATGTACTACATACCACTCGTACTACACCCTTGAGCACTAAATAGCAAAGCAGAGAAAAGGCTCAATGAGAGGGGGATTTTGGCAAAGATGAGATGGGAAAAAAAAGATTCTTCCATTACAGGGATTGTCGGAGGATGGACAACGGCGGCTGGGCGGCAGGAATCACGGCCGCGGCGGCACGGTGCAGGCCAGGCTATTTGCAGTGCCTTGGCTGATGTCGGCTTTGAGGAAGAAAGCCTCTGACCTTGAATCAGGGTGTCAAAAAAAGTAGCGAGTTAGTTGACGCTCCAAGTTTATACCAAGTTTACCTGGCTATTTTTGTCGGCGAGGATGGATCAAGATGGAGCTCCGTCTTGTCTCCCCAACAGTGGAGAAGAGGTTAGGGGAAACATGCAAGTAATCACGAGGTGTCATTGTTGATACACTGACAACTGTACCCGTGATGCTTTGAGATACTCATGTTGCCATGCATTGAAGACGGCCGACTCACTGAACTCTAAAAGAGACCATCACGGAAACAATCAACCTGAGTACTGAACAAGGGCCCTTGCGAGGTGATCGGACTTGATGAGATATGCCACGGGGGTCAACTTGAGGCGAGTGTGAGATGTGCGGGATGCCACGCAATGAAATGCTTTGGGGTGAGAAATGTGACTGACGTTTTAAGGGACGGGATTACTTCAGTCGAGCTAAGCTAATTGTGCGTCTAGTTGTTTGTGGCTTGGTGTTAGATTTTTGACACAAAACTGTGAATGGTGTCTCGCTCCGTGCTTTGACGTTTATGGAGAGGTCACCATAAATGAGACAAGATTTCTCAAGCCCAATGGTCTCTCCAATAATCAGCCACGCTTCAGGTACTGTAACTCAGATATCATCAATCAACTTCTCTCTTGCTGATTGATACTGTGTTGGAAGAACTGCGTACTCGTAAAAGGGGAATGTTTCCAGCGGGGATCATGTGGAGCTGCTGAGTTGAGCCACGGCCCATGATGCCCTCTCTGGCACAGACAGGCTCATCATGCATGACAAGTCAAGTCGCAAGGATTCAAACCGTACACTGTTGCCGCTATTATTGTTGAATAAACACAGACCAACAGGAGTTTCCTCTTTCAATGACCACAGCGGATTCTTCTGTTCACAAAAGAAGTGTTCATGCATGATATGACATGACAACTTATCATGTTGCACGAATCCTTCAGAAACGGAAGAAGAAACAAATAAACGCACCGCTCTTCCGTCGATCGCATCTCGCCTTGTCCAAACTTCGGCCCGCTACTCATGGCTCTTCTATCACAATATCCGCAAGACATTCCCTCGTGCCGAACCTTCGGTGACGGAAAGGAGAAAAAAACACGGAGGTTGTCGAACATCGCCCTCGAAGCCTAAATCGGGTGATTCTTGCGCTTGTAGGACATTGCAATGGATCTACGTGAATGCTGTGTTTGTTTGCATACCAAACCTCCCGATATCAGTTTCGCTTATTTTTCATTCTCATCCTCATCCTCATGATATGGTGGTTTTCTCGATTCGATCTGGAGCTTATCGGCCAACGCGAATGTCTGTATGTAGTCTGATGTCAAGTTCAGAATTTTTGCTTTTTGTACAACCAACGTTTGGCCGTTGAACCCTTGACGAACTTAGACCCCTGCACCCCCCCCCCCCCCCCCCCCCCCCCC